CTACTTCCTGGTTCACGGATGGCGCCTTCTAGCTGTGTCCTCACATGGAAGAGAGAGAAGGCGAGAGAGGGCAAGAGCCCTCAAAGCTCTCTGTCCTGTAAGGGCCCTGATCCCGTTCGTGCAGGATGCACCTGCAAGACCTCCTTGTACTGTCACCTGGAGGTCTAAAATTTTACCATATGAGTTTTGGGGGACACAGACATTCAGAGCACAGCGCTAGGCAATGTCTCTGTGACTGTGCTGGCGTGAGACTTGAACTCCTGAGCTCCCACTTGGGAAGCCAGGCGGTGGCCGCTTTGACCCTGGAGACACTGTCAATGTATCTGGGGTTTCTCTCTCCCCTTCCATCCAAGGCTTTTGATCCACAGAGGGAGCCATTGTAGAGGGCATTCCCTATAGATCTGAACTGTGGGGTGTCCTGGGCTGACCCTTCTTTCGACAGTCATTGAACGCTTTCTCTTCCTCTTCCTCACCTCCTTCTTTTCCTTCTCCTTCCTTTTGAAGTAAAAAAAAAAATGTGGTTTTCTTTTTTAAAGATTTATTTAGTATTTGATAGAGTTACACAGAAAGAAGAGAGGCAGAGAGAGGTCTTCCACCCTGGTTCACTCCCCAATTGGCCACAATGCCTGAAGCTGCACTAATCCAGAGCCGTGCTAATCCGGAGCCAGGAGCCTCTTCAGGGTCTCCCACGAGGGTGCAGGGGCCCAAGGACTTGGGCCATCTTCCATTGCTTTCCCCGGCCATAGCAGAGAGCTGGATTGGGAGTGGAGCAGTGGGAACTTGAACTGGTGCCCGTATGGGATGCCTGCACTGCAGACGGTGGGTAATTTACCTGCTACGCACAGCGCCAGTCCCAAAAAACATGGTTTTCATCATGCTACATTACCCCCCTACCCTCCATTTTTTAGTTCTTGGTGTAAACTCTGCTGAGCCTTTCAGGATCCTTGTCTCTTAGGAACTCAACATGTTGTTTCTCAACCTGCTGCCCACAGTAGCCACAGAGCTTTGTTCCTAGGTGTTGTCTCCACTCCAGGCTCTAGAAAGTTTGCTGTGGAACTTAAAGGTGAGCAGAGAGTCCTGTGATTTCACCTTGACTCCTGTCCCCAAGAGCAGTATGTAAGGAAAACTGCTTTCATTTGTTTGCTTGTATTTTTCTAGAAATGAACATGAAACACTTAAGATCGGAATAAACACACAGATCAGTTTAGAATTATGTTTGCCCCCCATCCCCCATGTCCATCTAAATAATGAAGGGAAGGGCAAGGGCTCCAGAAAGCAGCAGGAGAAACCTTGGATGACATCTCAGAATAGCATGCGCAATGCCTCACCTAGGAGGAAGCAGCCTGGAGAGGTGCAGGAGCTGGCCCGAGACCACACTCCAGGGCCAGGATGACTCCAGCCTCCTGTGGCTCTGCCTGGCTGTAAAACAAACGCTAGGGAGTGGGCGTGGGGTTTAAAAGGAAGGCGTTATCAGTTTCAGATGCTGCAGAGAGATCCAGAAAGATTAGCACAAGGACTGAGGCTTTTCCCATCAGGGGTCCTCAGAAACCTTGCTGGGGGTTTGATGCATCCTGAAAACATTTTATTCTGCATTTCCAATTTCTGTGCTTTGAGTAAGTTCCTCACTAAAGTTCATGTTATGGAAACTTAATTCCCAAATTCATATGTGGAGGTGAGGTCTGTGGGAGGTGATTAGGATTTAATGAGGTCATGGTGTTAGCGCCTTTATGAGAAGGAGACCTGAGCTTGCAGCCTGCCCTGTCTCTCTGTGCGGTGCCCCCGGTGGTGCTATGAAGCAGCAAGGAGGTCCTCACTGGGTGCTGGTGCCATGCTGTTGGATGCCCCAGTCTCTACAACTGTGAGCCCAGTAAACTCTGGGTCTTTATAAATTGCCCATTTTGTAGTATTTAGTTATAGCAACAAGAAATGGATAAAGCACCAGTAGTAAAAGATTCTAAAGACTACACCTCTGGGATGGGCATTTAGCCTAGTGGTTAAGGTATCCATATTCCACATCAGAGTATCTGCGTTCAGCACCCACCTCTGGCTCGTGACACCAGCTTCCTGCTAATGTAGATCCTGGGAGGCAGTAGTGATGGCTCAAGTCCCTGTGTGGGAGACCTGTGTTACATTCCCAGCTCCTGGCTTTGGCTTGGCCCAGTTCTGGCCGTTGTGGGCATTTGGGGAGTGAATCAGCAGAAGGGAGCCCTCTGTCTAATAAAATTTTTTAAAAAAGACTGGAACATCAGTAAGGATATCAGTACATGAAATCCTTGAGTAGTGGAAGTTGTGAATTTGAAGTTAACAGCAAAAGAGGTGTTGTTGTGAGTGGACAAAAGGGATCGTGTGAGGGTATGAGGGTGCCCCAAAGTGCCTGTAGTGAGGAGTATCAGAGAGAGGAATCGCAGCTGAGATTGCACAGCGGTGGACTCGAGACAGACTCACAACTGCTATCCGTGAAGGAATCCTGTTTTGTAAAGTTTCCTTACAAACTCTTCTCAGCAGTGTCATTTTGCAAGCTCTCCCTCACTGTGCAAATGGCGCTGAGCATGCGGTGTCTGTCACCCATCCTGGCAGGCCTGGCCTTGCTGTCCTCTTCTTGCAGGCGGATTTTATTTATTTATTCTGGTATGCTCCTAAAAGCCCTGTGATAGCCAAGTTTCTAAGCAAAAGGGCCTCAAAGAGATCTGTCCCCTGAAGAGCCTCCCGCCACACCGGGGCTCCCCTGAGTCTTGAATTAGGTAAGTAAGGGGCTGAGAAGGGAAGGGGAAGGGCAGAGTGACTGCTGGGAGTCGTGCAGTGGCAGCCCGTGCTCGCCGATCTCAGACACTCTCGAACAGCAGCGCTCTGAGGATGGAGGGCCCGTACCGTGAATGGGAGGCTGGCTTCTCCCTTGTGCCAGGCCCTTGGCTGATTGTTTCATTTCTTTGAGAAACAAACATTAGGAGGAGCTTACATCAGATTACATATAGATACACGTAGGAGTCTGTTTCTTAATGCAATTCCTACTTACTGATGCTGTCTCTGTACAAGGTACTGAGATAGGTGGCAAGAAAAATGCAAAATGGGAAAATCTCAGCTCTTGCCTCCAGAGGGCCTGTTGCCTAGTGAGGTGCAGGGTGGACGAATATGCAGGTAAGTCTACCTGGTGGAAGACAAGGGCTTTACTAGAGAACAGAGGGCATGAGGGAGCTTGAAACATTATTTCTTGCTGGTATCTGTGGAGATGTAGCAGTTTAGACAGATTTTGTAAGCAGGTCTAGATTTCATTGAGTTGGGGTATGGACAAAGTATTCCCCCTGAGGAGTGGGCATTTAACTTATCAGTTAAGAACTTGTCTTGTCAGAGTATGTGGATTTAATTCCTGCCTCTGGCTACTGACTCCAGCTTCCTGCTAATGCATATCCTAATGCAATGGTGCCTTCTTTTTCTACCCAATGCGGGAGACCTGGATTGAGAACCCCACGCCCAGCTTCAGTCCTGGCCCTCAGGGGCATGTGGGGAATGAGCCAGCAGGTGGGAGTTCTATCTGTCTATCTGTCTCTTTTTCTCCCCCCGCCCCACCCCAATTTATATAAGAGGCAGAGTATTTCTTGCGGAAAACCAACCAAGGATAACCAAGGATATAGAAATTCAATCTTCTTGCTCCTCTGTGGACCCCAGGGCACGTGATATCAGAAGCAGATCCAGTTTGTTCCCCTGCTTCCCTTCCCCGCACTGCCTCTACCACATCACCTCCAGGATTGCCTGAGACTTCAGTTGTTGTATGCAGGTCTCTGACACTTCGACACAGGGAAATAAACAAAGGTCCCTTCCTGGGAAGATGGAGAGGAGTTGGTCTTGGGAAGAGGATAAGAAATAGGCCCCGGGAAGAGAGAGACGTGGAGCTTATCAGACTTTGCCCACTGCTGTGATTAGAACGTGGTTTGTCCCCTCCGAAAATCCAGTTGAAATTTGATGGCAGTGCTGGGAAGTGAGGTCTTTAGGAGGTGATTAGGGTCATTAAGAAGGATTGTGTGTTTCTCAAGGGACTGGGTTCATCTTGCTGACAGCAGGTGAGCTCTGGCGCTCACAGGACGGGATACGCTATCGTGAGATCAGGTTGTTGTAGAGCGAGGCCACCTGATGTCTTGCTTCTTCTGCACATTCTTCCCCACCCTTCTACTGTGCTGCAGGGTCATGAAGCAGCACAAAGCCCTTCCAGATGCCAGCACTGGTGCTCCTAGGCTTCCAGCCCCCAGAACCATGAGCCAAAATAAATCTCTTCATAGACTACCCAGCCTCAGGTATTCCACTGTAGTTACAGAAAATGGACACGGGTAGAGGAAAGAAGTGACAGTGGCTGGTGGGACTAAGGACCTCTGCATACCTCAGTGTACCTCAAAGTTGGGTCAGCCAGAGTTAGAAAAAAGAGAGGGTATGTGTTGTGGATGTTTTGTCAGGAGAGTCGATTTGAGGGATACAAAGCAGAGCTGTGGCTGAGCCATTTGCTTGTTTCTTTGAGCTGGTCCTGGGGCAGTCCCTCAGTGAATTCACATGGGAAGGGCCATTTGGCGCATACCTTGACTTCTAAGGAGCTAAGTGCAGAACATTTGAGTTCTCTGTGCAGGTGGAAGTGGCCCTTTCCCTGCAGCATGGCTGCAGGTGCAGCCACAATGTCTTGGTCCATGTGACAAGAGGGGAGTGAGGCCAGGGCAGGATCACAGCACAGTCCTGGCACTCAGCAGTCACGTGGGCCACGTGCTGGCCTTGAAGCACCTGACCTGTATTTTCTAACTTAGCTGCCACAGAGAAGCAGTCACTGAGGACCGTGGAGAGCACTTTCTCCAGGGCACGATGGGAGCCAGATCTGTAAGAAGTGAAGGTGCGAGAAGGTGAGGGGAGTTGGTGACTGCAGGTCTGGGCCAAACTTCTAAGATGTGTGCTGGTGACAGGAAGAGGGGCAAAAGAGAGCAGTTGGCTCTTTCCCCTGCTCGGTGGGTGGAGGAGGCCGCAGCAGTGCTGGGAGCGCGCTCTCCGCCAACCTGCCCCGGCCCTCTCGCGCTGCGTGGTCTCCCAGACCAGGACTGTCCCGGTCCTGATATGGCTTGTGGACAGCAGATTCAGTCTCAGCAGAAAAATGCCAAGAAGCAAGCTGGACAAAAGAAGAAACAAAGACATGACCAAAAGGCTGCTGCCAAAGCTGCCTTAATATACACCTGCACTGTCTGCAGGACACAAATGCCAGACCCTAAGACCTTCAAGCAGCACTTGGAGAGCAAACATCCTAAGACTCCGCTTCCTCCAGAATTGGCTGATGTTCAGGCTTAAAGTTGTTTACAGGCGAATTTGTGACACCTCTGACTCTTCTGCTGTCTCAGGCCCTAGGTAACAAACCTGCAGCTGCTTTTTTTTTTTTTTTTTTTTTTTTTTGACAGGCAGAGTGGACAGTGAGAGTGAGACAGAGAGAAAGGTCTTCCTTTTGCTGTTGGTTCACCCTCCAATGGCCGCCACGGTCTGCGCACTGCGCTGATCCGATGGCAGAAGCCAGGTACTTCTCCTGGTCTCCCATGGGGTGCAGGGCCCAAGCACTTGGGCCATCCTCCACTGCACTCCCGGGCCACAGCAGAGAGCTGGCCTGGAAGAGGGGCAACCGGGACAGAATCCGGTGCCCCGATCGGGACTAGAACCCGGTGTGCCGGTGCCGCAAGGTGGATTAGCCTATTGAGCCACGGCGCCGGCCCATGCAGCTGTTTTTCTAACAAACTGTTGATCAGCAAAAATACAGGGGCTACAAAAATACTCATTTTTATGCTGTTCCCTTTTGAGCTTCATGCAAAGACAATTCTGTGTAAATGTACAGTTGACTCTGATTTGGAAATCTGGAAATCAGTCCATCCTTGTTATAAAAATTTTTTTACAATTGTAATTATATTGATGTTCATATTGTGTAAAATAACTCATTTAATAAAGTAGTACTTTGATTTTACAACATCAAAAAAAGAGCAGTTGAAGGGGAAGAAGTAAGTTATTTTGAACATTTTCCCCTTTCTAAAGAATTTGTTTCAGAGTGAGAGAAACTGAGTGAGGGGGAGAGGAGTGAGTCACAGGGAGGAGACTGAAGATGCTCCTTGAGTGGCCTGTTCTCAGAGGAGGCACCGTGAAGCTGCCTTGCAGATGGCAGTGCCTTGTGGGGATGGCGGTGGGCGGGGCTTGGGGAGAGCAGTGAGAGAGTGTAGAGTCTTGGCTGGTGTCTGCTGCCAGCATTGAAGGGGCAAGAGGAGGTTGCTACTCCCAGTCCCAGTGGGAGAGAAAATGAGAGCAAGCTGGACCACTTGACAGGAGATGCAGCCTGTGGCAGATGGGTATAGCCTATCCCTGGTGAGCTTCAGGGAGGAGAACAGGGAAATAAATACCCCAACTTTCTGTCTGTCTGTCTCTGTTTCATTCTTGCTGTGCCTTTCATTGTCTAGACCCAGCCGGAAGCCAGAAACCCAGAAAGTCCATAAAGATCCACCTCCCGAAGCAAAGAGAATGGTAGAAAAGGGTGGATTAGGGGTCTAGAGGGACTAAATTAATAAAACCACGTAAAGAGCTCTTGGGTGAGGGCCCAAGGACTTGTGTTAGCTGTGGCCCCTGGAGTGCTGTGTGATGAACAACCCTAAGTCTCAATGGAGCAGTGCAGGTTGACTACTAGTCTGAAACATTTAGGGTCAGAATTGTTTTGGAATTTTGGACTTTTTCTTTTCAGATTTTGGAATATTTGCATACACATAAAGAGATACCTGGGGGATGGGATCCAAGTATTTTTAGAGCACCTGTGTTTTGACTGTGACCCATCACGTGAAGTCGGCAGTGAAAGTTTCCGTTTGTGACATCATGTCAGTGCTTAAAGAGTTGTTCAGAGTTGTTCATTTTGGAACATTTCAGATTTTGGTTGTTTTTTGGTTGTTGTTGTGTGTGTTTTTTTTGACAGGCAGAGTTAGAGACAGAGAGAAAGGTCTTCCTTCTGTTGGTTCACCCCCCAAATGGCTGCTGCGGCTGTCGTGTTGCACTGATCGGAAGCCAGGAGCCAAGTGCTTCTCCTGGTCTCCCATGCGGGTGCAGGGCCCAAGCACTTGGGCCATCCTCCACTGCTCTCCCAGGCCACAGCAGAGAGCTGGCCTGGAAGAGGAACAACCGGGACAGAACCAGCGCCCCAACCAGGACTAGAACCTGGGGTGCTGGCGCCGCAGGCGGAGGATTAGCCTAGTGAGCTGTGGCGCTGGCCCAGATTTTGAATTTTTAAGATTAGGGTGCGGCCTGTTTATAGCATTAAGCGTGTATTCTCTCAGGCCTATGGGTTGGCAACTGCCAGGTGACATGGTGGAATGGGTGGGAACCAGGAGGTGTCAAGGATTACAGCCAGTAACCCTGGGAGGGCGAGGTAGAAAGTAAGTTGCAGGTATAAATGGCTTTGAGTACAACTACTATTTATGCTCTTCTGCCATCCACATCCATTCTCTTACTGTTCTATGGAAATACAGTGTGTCGTTGCTCCATGGCTGCATTTCCCATCTAAAGACTCTATTTTTGAGCTTGACTAGGTGATAGCTGGTGGACATGGGGCATATAATTTCTGTTCTTAAAGACAGAACTCTCATTTCCCACCTCTCCCTTAAGCCTGCTGCCTGGGATTGTAGGTGTGCTGCTGCTGAGGCCTCCTGGTGCACACCAATAAGGATGTCACAGATGGTGAAGCAACAACACAGTTGGAGTATGGCTCCCTGGCTGCTTATGTACATATGAGGGTACTTCCAAAAGTTTATAGAAAATGCAACTTTTAAATATGTTTAGCTTGGTGCAAAAAATTAGAAATCCATGCATACAAGGAGTCTCCAAAAAGTTTATGGAAAATGCACATTATGAAAAAACTATGCATGGGGTTGGCGTTGTGGTGCAATGGGTTAAACTGCCATTTACAATGCCAGCACCCCATTTGGAGTGCCAGTTTGAATCCTGCTTCTCTGCTTCGGATCCAGCTCCCTGCTAATGTGCCTGGCAAGGCAGTTGATAATGGTCCAAGCACTTGGGCCCCTGCCACCCTTGTTGGAGACCCAGGTGGAGTTCCTGGCTACTGGCTTTTGCTTGGCCCATTGCGGAATGAATCAGTGGATAGAAGATTGTCTCTCTCTCTCTCTCTCTCTCTCTTGCTCACTCTGCCTTTCAAATAATAAAATATTTGTATAGATTTTAATTTTTTCCTGACCTAAATGAATGTATCTTTTTATTTTATTTTATAATTTTATTTTTGACAGGCAGAGTGGACAGTGAGAGAGACAGAGAGAAAGGTCTTCCTTTGCCGTTGGTTCACCCTCCAATGGCCGCCGCGGCTGGCGCACTGCAGCCGGCGCACCGCGCTGATCCGATGGCAGGAGCCAGGTACTTATCCTGGTCTCCCATGGGGTGAGGGCCCAAGGACTTGGGCCATCCTCCACTGCACTCCCTGGCCACAGCAGAGAGCTGGCCTGGAAGAGGGGCAACCGGGACAGAATCCGGCGCCCCGACCGGGACTAGAGCCCAGTGTGCTGGTGCTGCAAAGTGGAGGATTACCCTGGTGAGCCGAGGCGCCGGCGTATGAACGTATCTTTTATTTATATATAAACTTTTAAAAATTTATTTATTTGAAAGAGTTACACAGAGAGAGGAGAGGTGGGGGGGGAGAGGGAGGGATGGATGGAGGGAGGGAGAGGTCTTCCATCTGCTGGTTCACTCCCCAATTGGCTGCAATGGCCGGAGCTGTGCCGATCTGAAGCCAGGAGCTTCTTCCGGGTCTCCCACATGGGTTCAGGGGTCCAAGTACTTGGGCCATCTTCTACTGCTTTCCCAGGCCAGAGCAGAGAGCTGGATCAGAAGTGGAGCTGCCAGGATTCAAACCAGCGCTCATAAGGGATGCCAGCACTGCAGGCAGCAGCTTTACCTGCTATGCCACACTGCCAGCTCCCAAAAACTTTTTGAAGGAGCTTCATAAAAGTTAGGTGGAATAGAAAGAGGCCTTCATCTTATTTAGGCTGCTATTATTTTGGGTCTTTGTTTTGTGAGCAAATTGATAGGAGCCTCTACTCTGATACCTCGAGGACGGGATAACACAGAGGTATAGATTCATTGTTTTCAGCATTTACTAGTCCAAGACAGCAGAGGCACCGGAACTTTTAATTTTTTCTCCTGTCAGCCCTGGTCAGTATTTGGAAAGGAAATATTCTTGGAGAGGTAATTATCAAAATAAGGTCTCCCTAATGGAAGCAGGACAAGCAGTGCCAGCACCTGTTCTTTCTGTGCACAGGGGATCCAGGTGAAAAGGAGAGAGATGAGGGGACAGAGCCATTTGCCACTTGCTGGAATATGGCTCACAACTAGAAAGAAGAAAGCAGGATTCTAACCTGGACCCATTGTGTTCCAAAGCCTGTGCTCCATTCCTTCGAGGTCAATGAGGTCAGATTCTAGGAGGGGCCTAGCTATTCTGGAACCTAAGGTGGTATCTAAAGTTGATTTCTGTGGATGCCCAGGGCATAAGAAGCCGAATTGACTCTTGCTTATTTGTTCATTGGCAGCGAAGGGATTGGTTTAGTACATTTAAAAAAAATGTATTTATTTGAGAGAGAGTTACAGACGGAGAGACAGAGAGAAAGGTTTTCCATCTGCTGGTTCACTTCTCAAATGGCTGCAACGGCTGGAGCTGGACTGATCCGAAGCCGGGATCTGGGAGCTGCTTCCGGGTCTCCCGTGTGGGTGCAGGGACCTAAGCTTTCCCAGGCCATAGCAGAGAGCTGGATCAAAAGAAGAGCTGCCGGGACACAAACAGGTGTCCATATGGGATGCCAGCACCACAAGTGGAGGCTTAACCTACTATGCCACAGCACTGGCCCCCGGTCTAGTACTTCCATCTCAAATGTACAAATGCACAAATACACAAATACACAAAATGGTTTTGTTAAAGAGGATATTCTTGGTAACTCACCTGATTTCTTGTGGCCAAGAAGAACAAAAGAGAATGAAAGTGCTGACTGTCAGTAAAGTCAGTATTAAAGCACAGATGTGGAGGTGAGGTTGTCACAGTTCAAATTCTAGCTCTCAATGGAGCCAGCACTGTGGCATAGCGAGTAAAGCCACCGCCTGCAGCACCTGCATCCTGTATGGCGCCAGTTCGAGTCTCGGCTGCTTCACTTCCCATCTAGCTCTCTGCTGTGGCCTGGAAAAGCAGCAGAAGATGGCCCAAGTCCTTGGGCCCCTGCAACCACGTCGGAGACCTGGAAGAAGTTCCTTGGCGTAGCTCCAGCCATTGCCGCTATCAGGGGAGTGAACCAGTGAATGGAAGATGGATCTCTCTCTCTCTCTCTCTCTCTCTCTCTCTCTCTCTCTCTCTCTG